TTTGTATTTTAATCTGCTCAATTAATATATAAGTGTGTTGGATTGATTAAATGGTCAGTTTGAGTGGAAACCCCCAGCTGTATTGAGTCAGCATGGTTCTAGGCTTTGAAGGTCCACCTGAGGATTGCTGTCAGAATAGTTATAAAAGGAGGGGCTGGGGATTTAGCTCAGCGGCAAAAGCGCCTGCCTGGCATGCGCCAGGTCGTGAGTTCAGTTCCTGGTACCAGAGAAAAACCAAAAAAAGGAGAACTGGAGGGGAAGATTTGCATTACTGCTTTTCCTTGGAGGAGCTTGGTCGTGGCTGGTTTTCCTGATAGGAACTCATTGTTGCTGGGAGTGGCTGTTGTTAGCTTTCCCGCTGTAGTCTTTGCTTGAGTCTTGAGAGTTGTATCCGGGCTCCAGTGCACCTCCCTCAGACTTGTATAGATGCTTAGGGCTTTTGATGCAGACACAGACTCCATGTACACTGCAGTGGACTCCAGGCTCTTGACTGGATCCTTTCTGTCTCCAGCACACATGCAGATATTTTGCAGTCTTTTACATTCTGACTCTAGTATAGCATTGACTAATACAATTAATAAATTGCTTCATCTTGAATCATTATTTTACTAGTTGAATAAAGTCCATTTGGCATTTGTTAATGGCTAAATACTTAACTTTGATTTGATAAACTTATAGTTTTGCATACATGTGGACTTGTCAAGCCTGAGAACACTAATTATGTTGTGGCTACTCTAAACATTGGATATTGGTGTGTAAAGTGTTACATGGAGCACTTCTATATATCTGGGTTTATTTTTTGTCTATATATTTCTATTAATCTTCACAAAAACGTTCACAATCCATTGATTTAGTGGATTTCGTATCTTCTGAAGGAAAGAGTTCAAAAAAGAAAACCAAGGATATATAAATGGCCCAAAATTATCTTGCTTCGAATGATTTATCAGTATACTCAGTGGTCCAATTGATCCTTAACATTTCTTTCTCGTTCAAATTGTGTGTGAGATAAAAACTCTCCTTGTGTCTGATGGGTGAAATATACTTTTTGTTTCAGGGTCTGTTGACATTCAGGGATGTGGCCATGGAATTCTCCCAGGAGGCGTGGGAATACCTGGACCCTGCTCAGAGGACTGCATGCGGGATGTGATGTTAGAGACCTATAGGAACCTGGTCTCCCTGGGTGAGGATGACTTCCTTCCAAGTCAGATCTACTCTGTGTCTCTTTGCATTTTCCCTTGTGTCATCATAGAATCCTCTGCATTGTTTCGCTGAGACAGATGCCCATTTGCCACTGAAATGTGAAGCTTTGCAATACAACATCTGGATTTTAACTGTCCTTGTTCTTGCTGTGTTTTTCACTCTTTTTAATAGATATGTCACTGATAGTTCTAGAGCTGAAACATGCGTGAAGCTTTGTAGAAGACTTTTAAAATATCCACTTCCCTGTTTTTCATCCTTGTTCTTTTGAGTCATTGATCCTTGGAAGAGTGCTACATATCTGTATGGAACAGTGAAATATTTGTCTAGGTCACTTTAATCTCTTTGTTAAGCAAACAGGGCTGGAGTCGGGAAAAGCCACAGCACATCACGTGCCTTTCTTTTTCCACTCAGGAATCTCTCCTTTTAATCTGTATGTTGTCTCTCTCTTGGTGCAGTGGGGAGAGCCCTGGAGCATGGATGTCCAAGTGAAAATACTGTTTTTGGGAAACTCTTCTCAAATGTGACAGACCTATGAGAAAACATGTTTCTTTTTTCTTTATTTTTTGAGCTCTCAAAAGAAAATTTTCTTGCTTTAATTTTACTTTGTTCTTACTTGTACAAATTCATCCTCCCAACCTCCACTGGTGGTGCATCTCACGCAAGGACCAAACCATAGGCTTTGTAATCACTTATTATTATCTGCCTCTGTGTGCTCTTTAGTGCCTTGTCCTTGAGGGATCCCGAGTGGGCTGTTACGAGTGGTCTTCATTCTTCCTTGGTTTCTTGGTCTGTATTCAGTTCTCAGTGTACATGAATCAAAGTTGAGG